ATTACATTTTTTGAGACAGAGTCTCAGTGCCTATAGTCCCAGCTGCTTGGGAGGCTGAAGCAGAATTGCTTGAACCTGGGAGGTGGAGATTGCAGTGAGCCAAGATGGTGCCACTGTACTTCAGTCTGGGCGACAGAGCAAGACTCTGTGTCAAAAAAATTCCCAGCACTTTGGGAGGCTGAGGTGGGCAGATCACTTGAGTTCAGGAGTTTCAGACCAGCCTTGCCAACATGGTGAAACCTTGTCTCTACTAAATACAAAAATTAGCTGGGCATGGTGGTGTGTGCCTGTAATCCCAGTTACTCAGGAGGCTGAGGCAGGAGAATCTCTTGAACCTGGGATGTAAGAGTTTACAGTGAGCTGAGATGGCGCCACTGCACTCCATCCTGGGTGACAAAGTAAGACTAAAACTAAATACAAGTAGGTGATCATCACGGTTTTATTTATATTAGCTTTATGGGGGAAAAAAAAAGCAAATACAAACAATGCCGTGATTAACATACATTTTCCCATTATTTACATGGGAAACAAGTAATATTTGTAACAACAGGGGAGTCCATCATGTCCATCAATTTGATAAAATAAAATGGATTCCAGGAACTGTTCTGAGTACTTTATAAATGCGTATTAATTCGTTTAATCCTCACAGCAATCCTATGGAGTGTGTATTATAATTGTAAGTCCCATTTTACACATGAAGAAACAGGTTTGGAAATTTTAAGTAATTCATTCAAGATTACACAGGTAATAAGTAGCAGACCTGCCATTTGAATCAGGCTGTCTGGTTCCACAGTCTTTGCTCTAACCACTACAACATTGCCTCATGGTATTTTATTTTGCCTGACTTACTTACTTACTTCCTTCCTTCCTTCCTTCCTTCCTTCCTTCCTTCCCTCCCTTTCCTTTCTTTTCCTTCCTTTCTTCCTTCCTTCCTTCCATGGTGTTTTATTTTGCCTGTTTTCCTTCCTTCCTTCCTTCCTTCCTTCCTTCCTTCCTTCCTTCCTTCCTTCCTTCCTTCCTTCCTTCCTTCCTTCCTTCTTTCTTTTCTTTTTTTTTAATCTTGCTCTGTTGCCCAGGCTACAGTGCAGCGGCATGCTCTCCAGCTCACTGCAACTTCCACCTCTGGGTTCAGGCGATTCTTGTGTCTTAGCCTCCCCAGTAGCTGGTATTAAAGGTGTGTGCCACCATGCACAGCTAACTTTTGTAATTTTAGTAGAGACAGGGTTTTGCCATGTTGCCCAGGCTGGTCTCAAACTCCTGACCTCAAGTGATCCACCCATCTCAGCCTCCTAAAATGCTGGGATTACAGGTTGCACCTGGCCTTGTCTGCTTTTCTTTCTTTCTTTTTTTTTTTTTTGAGACAGAGTCTTGCTCTGTCATCCAGAATGGAGTGCAGTGGCACCCTCTCGGTTCACTGCAACCTCCGCCTCCTGGGTTCAAGCAATTCTCTTGCTTCCACCTTCCAAGTGTCTGCGACAACAGGTATGTGCCACCATGCCCAGCTAATTTTTGTATTTTTAGCAGAGACCAGGTTTCACCATGTTGGCCAGGCATGTCTCAAACTCCTGACCTCACGTGATCCACCTGCCTTTGCCTCCCAAAGTGCTGGGATTACAGGCTTGAGCCACCGTGCCCAGCACTTGTTTTTTTAAAAAGAGTTTTATAACAAGGCAGGGTGTGGTGGCTTGCACCTATAATTCCGGCACTTTGGGAGGCCAACACAGGAAGATAGTTGAGACCAGGAGTTTGAGACCAGCCTGGGTAACATGGTGAAACCCTGTTTCTACAGAAAATACAAAAATTAGCCAGGTGTGATGGTGTGTACCTGTAGTCCCAGCCACTCAGGAGGCTGAGATGAGAGAACTGACTGAGCCAGGAGGTGGAGGTTATAGTGAGCTGAGATCCCGCGGCTCCACACCAGCCTGGGTGATAAAGCAAGGCTCTGTCTCAAAGTAAACAAAAACAAAGAGAGTTTAAGAGTAAAACTTTGGAGGAAAAACATATCCTCTCTATTCAGGGGAGGAGAAGATCAGATAGGAAGAACATGCTAATTTACAAAATGCTCCCACATCTCCTCAAAACCAACCTGCAAAGCTATTGTTTTCATTAACCCCAAGGCTCAGAAAGGGTAAGTGTCCACTCAGAGGAATGTTGCTGGATTTCCAGTCCCACGCTTTCTCCACCACTTAGTGTAGTTTGGACAATTTCTTTTCCTTTTTCTTTTTTTTTGAGACGGAGTTTTGCTCTTGTTACCCAGGCTGGAGTGCAATGGCATGATCTAGGCTCACTGCAACTTCCGACTCCTGGGTTCAGGCAATTCTCCTGCCTCAGCCTCCCGAGCAGCTGGAACCACAGGTGCGTGCCACCATGCCCAGCTAATTTTTGTATTTTTAGTAGAGACGGGGTTTCATCACATTGACCAGAATGGTCTCGATCTCTCGACCTCATGATCCACCCGCCTCGGCCTCCCAAGTGCTGGGATTATAGGTGTGAACCCCCGCGCCGGGCCGGACAATTTCAAAACAGTGTGCGCCACTTCAGCCCTTTTATCACCATGAAGCAGCTCAAGTGAAGGCAGAGGTCTGGACTGGGCGTGCCCAGAATTAACTCGCCAACATTGATATCCTAGGGCTAAAATGTTTGAACAACTGAAGGACTGTCCCTTTTTTTTTTTGAGACGGAGTTTCGCGCTTGTTTCCCAGGCTGGAGTGCAATGGCGTGATCTCGGGTCCAGGCAATTCTCCTTCCTCAGCCTCCTGAGTAGCTGGGATTGCAGGCACGCGCCACCATGCCCAGCTAATTTTTTGTATATTTTTTAGTAGAGACGGGGTTTCACCATGTTGACCAGGATGGTCTCGATCTCCTGACCTCGTGATCCACCTGCCTCGGCCTCCCAAAGTGCTGGGATTACAGGCTTGAGCCACCGCGCCCGGCCAGGACTGTCCCTTTTAAGCCTTCCTTTGCCTCAGGCAAGGGATCTTCCCTAAGAGGTTTGTGAAATTAACCTTTCTTTTTCTATTCTCTACCTCCCCCACAACTATAGGTTAGTACAGCTTCTTCAGACCAAACAGTCTCAAAGGTCTCATCAGAGGTAGCTAAGAGACCAGGATAATAGCAACGAGGATAATAACGACTAAGTTAATAATAATAGCCAAAGGGTATAGAGCGATTGCTATATGCCATTTGTGCCCTGGGCCATGTTTACATGCATTTAATTCTCAGGACAGTTTTGTGGCAAAGGCAACATTTTACTGATTAGGAGACTGAGGCTCAGAGGGTGTCAGTCAGAGGCTTGACTGGGGCTAAGTAGGGGAAGGTGGATTAGCAGCAATCCACAGACTACCGAGTGTGAGTTTTTGGGCCTTGAACCCCTCATTTACAAATTGACTTCAGAATCACCTTCATATGATTTTTTAAATCTAGGGTTGTTTTTTAAAAATCACCCCCATAAATGACTGTGTTCTTCACACATCTGATGTTTCAAGGAAATGTGGCTTCTCTGGGAAAGACAACAGTACAAACATAGTACCTTTTTTTTTTTTTGAGAGAGTCTCATTTCATCCATCACCCGGGGTGGAGTGCTGTGGCATCCTCAGCTCACTGTAACCTTTGCCTCCCAGGTTCAAGTCTCTCCTGCTTCAGCCTCCTGAGTAGCTGGGATTATTGGTAACTGCCACTATGTCCAGCTAATTTTTATTTATTTATTATTTTTTTATTCTCTCCCAATTATGTTCAGTCTCATAATTTTTATACTTTTAATAGAGAAAGAATTTCACCATGTTGGCCAGGCTGGTCTGGAACTCCTGGCCTCAAGTAATCTTCCTGCCTTGGCCTCCCAAAGTGCTGGGATTACAGGCGTGAGCCACCACGCTAGGCTTCAGGCGTGAGCCTTTAATGATACTAATGATCTATAAACTACTTTATCCTCATTTTTAATCTCCTGCCCTTTTCTGTCCATTAAAAACAACTGATGTTTGATTTTCATAATTTCTTAACCTAGAAAAATGTAAACACACACACACACACACACACACAACACAAAACAGAACTGATGAGAGATTGTGGTGAGGAATCATGGTGTTTTAAGTAGACTCCTTGAACAGTCTACCAAACCCAATGGGCAGATGAGGAGAGCACTGAGAGTTTCTGAAGTGAAGCACAACTCTGTAACTGCAAGTTGTCAAGATTGGAAGGCATTATTTTGTTAGTCCACTAAGTGGCACATTATTCAAAGACTTGGCTGGGAACGGGTGCTAGGTGATCTGTAAATAATCTACGAGTAACGTTTATCCTGAGTGGAACATTAACGTTGTAGAAGCCGGGCTTTCAAAGGGATCATAGGCCTACAGAGGGAAGCACAGCCTCCACCTTTAACCGTTTCTACAACTCCAACGATTGCATTAAAAGGACAGAATGGAGCAGGTAGAGGGTGAATTCGAATATAAACATTCTGTGCATGTGGCCAGTGAGGCAGTTAGAACCAGCAAGTGTCTCCGCAGCAACAATACAACTGTTAGGTCAAGTGTATGAAGGCTGAGGCCCCTTCGGGGCAGCTGTGAAAGAAAGCCCCTATTAATCCCTTAACTAAGCAGCTGACGGATTTAATCTTTTTGTGCATACTTTATAACTCTTCAAACACAAGATTATTCTAAGTTTTTTTTTTTTTTTTTAATCAGCAGAAGCTATCAAAGCTTTTTATAGATTTCTTCATCTCACTAATTAACAGATGATAGAAAACAGAACTTTGGAGAGCGTCTGGTTACAATTCGCTGTCATTCTGGCTTGAAAAACTGTAAGAAAGCATAATTCCCTGATTCATTCACAAAAAGAATAGGTCTCTATTTGAAGAGCAAAGAGATCTCAGTCTCCTGCCTCAGAGATCTACTTCCCTTTGATTTTGTATCCATTGTTATTTAAAATAATAGCATAGAACAGCAGAGTTATTTTGGATAGTAATATTAGAAAAGAAAATTAGTAATATTAGAAAAGAAAATTATTACCTGGTATAATCTCCCTTGGCTTCCTAAAAAAAACCAAACAAAAACAAATAGAGTTGATCAATATGTATTTTTGTTAAGCTAAATGAGTTTTATCTTGATTACTTTCCCCTCTTAAAGTCCCTGAGTTTTGTTTTGAAGTGTTTCTCAGGAACACTCTCCCTGTAGCCTTAAGAAGAATTAGGCATTGGCAGGAAAACACTGACTGTCCTGTGGGGAATATTCCTTATTCTTAACAAAAGAAGCAAATATATATATGAGAAAAAGCACACATAATTATTTCCTGCTATACGTTTTTAAGATCCCATGATAAATGCTTTTCTTTCAAGTGGCACACTTGTTAGACCGGAGGAAGACCTTTTAAACCACAATGCAGGTAAACCAACACATACTATTTGTTTTCTTTTTACTTTTTAAACCAGCATGGATACAGATTAATGCCCTTAAGAACTAAAGGACTCTTTTACTGGACCCCAAGAAAATGTATATAAAAGTTACTAAATTTACATGAAAATTACAGCTGTTGTAACAACTGCTGTCTCCCAAATTCAAATATCCCAGAGCGCTCTTCTAGGAATACGGTTTTAACTCTTCCTTCAGAGCAGTCTAAATTTCATTTTTCTTTGAGACACACAATATCACATTGTAGCTCATGCAAACTATTCTAAAAGCAGAAGATGATGGCTCACATTTTTTCATTGGCAAACAACTAACTGGCTTAAACATCCAGCAGGTACCGGTCCATTCAAAAGTTTCAGAGTTAAAGGCAGTTAACAAAAACAAACAAACACAAGGGAGCTAGCTGCTAAAGGGCAGTTTGTCTAGTCTTACCTGTAAAATAAACGCTGCTAACTTGAAGATGGTTTCACTGTCTACTTCGATTTGCCCCTGTTGGTGGAAAAGGAAAGCATCATTGACCATGGGGCTGTCCTAGGTTGTAGCAAATGGCTCTGAAGTTGAGGAAGCTGTCACAGCTTGGCACCTCCAGTTTACGATGAAATGCAGATCATACCATTGCCTGGGAAAGTGGGGGGTGTGGAGAGACTCACTGAGGATTAAGGCGAAACCACTGTGTGTGTGCGTGCATGTGTGTGTGTGTGTGTGTGTGTGTATGTTTTAAATAGCTAGCTGTCGTGAGGGGTTTTGTTTAGAGAGCAGTATTCAGGAAGAAACGGGAATGACTTTGAGGCTAAACATTCAGACAACTTCTAAACGAACAATTTTTATGTCTGCAAGTTCATTTTTAAGCACTCTGTAGATTTTCCTAGATTCATTTGTTGAGTGTTTTCCTGGAATAATTTTTTTTCTCTGTGTTGTAGTACAGTTACTCCAGTATAAACACAATGCAAATATTATTACAAATATAAATTTACTTCTGTGTTAATGGCACATTGTTGAGTTCATATTTGTACTATTATAGATAAAACGTGAGGCCTTAAAAATCAGTTACAGCAAATGCTTTCAAGACTAAAATTTTGTTGATTTATGTCGAAGTTTAAGGAACTCTAATTTATCATCTTTCCATCTTTTTTTTTTTTTCATCCTTCAAAACCCCAAAGAAAAATTGGAGTTCTGGGCCTTGATAAAGAAGGCTTTTTCAGGGACTGGTACAGTGGCTCATGCCTGTAATCCCAATACTTTGGGAGGCTGAGGGCGGAGGATCACTTGAGGACAGGAGTTTAAGACCAGCTTGGGTAACAAAGAGAGACCTAAAAAAAAAAAACAAAAAAAACAAACAAACAACTTTTTCAGTAGCCAGTAGGGATACTAGGTATGTGTGGAAGGAGTACAGCTTCTATCAATAATACTCATGTGCACTTTATGTTTTATAATTGTGGTGATACATGTAATATTACAATGAACGGTATAGAAGAATCTTTATTATTATTATTATTATTTTCTTTTTGAGAGGGAGTTTTGCTCTTGTCTTCCAAGCTAGAGTGCAATGGCATGATCTCAGCTCACTGCAACCTCTGCCTCCCAGGTTCAAGGGATTCTCCTGCCTTAGCATCCCGAGGAGCTGGGATTACAGGCATGTGCCACCACACCCAGGTAATTTTGTATTTTTAGTAGAGACAGGATTTATCCATGTTGGTCAGGCTGGTCTCGAACTCTGACCTCAGGTGATCCACCAGCCTTGACCCCCGCAAAGTTCTGGGATTACAGGTATGAGTCACCGTGCCTGGCCTCGAGGGATCTTTATTTTAAAAAAAGGTTTTAGTGGTAATGTTAGCTTGTAAGTTTTAACATATGCAGAAACAATTCCATGTAACCCGCTTCTTGCCTAAGTCCTGTATAATTAGTACTTGAACGTGCACAGTGTTTAAGAACATGGAATTCCTGGGAATTGCCCTGCATTCTTTCTTCCTCCCTTTCACCTCTTAAATCTGAGCTGGAGGGTTTCCAAGTTATACCAAGTGCATCAATGGGAAGATTAAGTCATTTTAAAGTAAATATACAATAGACAGGTTCCAGAGATTGTTATGCTCAGTGAGGATTTCTGAAAGGATTGTGCTTTTCTCTCAGGTTTCCACGTGATTTGATGAGGGTTCTCAAAAACAAACAATTATTTTAAAACCCGTAAAATAAAGTGAGCAAATAAAAGCCCGGGGTGTTACGATGCCAGCAGTGGTAATTATTCATGTTTCCTTTATATTACAACAAGAGGAAAACAAATTAATTTCATTCTCTAACGCAAAGGCCGCCCTTCTGAAACCTGAGGCAGAGGATCTGCTTCAAATTTTTTGCCTCAAAAGCTGACAGGCCCAGAGTCTTGGAATGCAAAGCTCATCCATAATCCCTAGAAACAGATGACAAAATCAAAGGGAAGCCAGGTTGATTGTAGAAATCAACTGCCCTCTGCCTTTCAGGCAAGAGACGGTGGTTTTCTAATCTGGTGAAAGATGATGAGGCGGTTCATCCAACAGGTGAGGTGGGTGTTGATCAAGATTAAATTTTAGAAAGTCTACATTCCTTAGTTCAAAGAAAGAGAAACTTATGGCAAAGGGAGGAGGGCTAACAGGAGAACTCAAAAACATCATTGGGTTTGAAATTAGGCAGGAACTCAAAGCCAAATGTTTCTTAAAATCTTAGAGAAGAAAAATTACTTAAGATGGCAAAAACACTAAAGACGAATTCAGTAAATTGAAAATTACTGCCAATTCCTCTGACACCCCTCAACCCCCCTTTGCCTCATCAGAACCTTAGGCTAGTCCCCTGAAAAACATTTCAGACAACAACTTTTCAATTTAGTAAATGGAAGTTCATCAGACAGGCAGAAAACCTATAGCAGATATTTTTACGGAAGCTGCCAAATAATTGTTTGCTTTAGACGGTTTATTAAGTATTAAAAATGCTGAAATGAGGAACTGAGCAAGAAAAGTACCAGGCTCAGACAGCTCCAGAAGAGTGGGGAGCAAATATCCAACTCACCTGTGGACTTTTCCACTTACACAAGTGGCCTCAATACAGTTCTGGTGAAGGACAGTGAGAAGAGGGTGAAGGAGTGGGGTCTAGCAATATCTTGTTCCAGGAAGGGAAGAGAACACATGCTTTGGCAAAGGCCATGTTCTTTTAAAAGCCTCAGCCCTCACCGTACCTTCCATTTAACAACCACTATTCTAGAAATCCCAGGCAACAAATACTGAGTTTTAATACTGACTGTTAATGTTCTTTGACTCATTCATGGTGTTTATTAAACAATACACCAATCAAGTGTACCACTATTTGCCTGGTACTCTGCAATTTCATTTGGTGAAATTTAATTAAGACTCATAAAGAACTCCAGAATTTCAAGCCTGAAGTGTAAAAGCTGCTTTGGAAGTGCAGTCTGCCCAGGACAGACATTTCTTTTACTCCCAACTATGGCAACAGAGGTAACCTTATAGGTACCAGGCAAGCCAACACTTGAGAGAGGGATCTCCTCAAAGAGAGAGGTAACGGGATCCTTCAGTGGGTTTCCATGACTGTCAGAGTTCAACAGAGAACCAGAGAAGTGAGTCAGATGATGTGGCTGAATGCACAAAGGTAATATGAAACAGTATCAAGTCCTGGTGCCACACCCTCATGGCTAATTTAGCTGGATTATAAATTTAACCAGTAGATCACTGGGTTCAGGTGTCACAGAGGACATCTCATTTTTGTCCTTGGCTTCTTGGCTCAGTTGACCAAGACACCAGCCTAATGAGTTAAATTCCAGGTTTTGATTGCCAAGTAGGAGAACAGAATCAAAGACAGTTTTGGGGCTGGAAATGGAACTTAGTGAAAATATGACTCCTTTTTTTTTTTTGCAGATGATGGGAGGCAATGAGGATCAGGAAGATGAACCGTAATGTCCAATCCCCTTGAACATGGTGACTCTGGACTCCCTGTCTGGTGCTCTTTCCACTCTACGATGCACTAGTTAACTTTTTATGACCCCAGTGCAAATGTCTCATTGGGAGTCCTCCAAAAGTATGTTTCTGGGAAAAACTGGAAACAGGAGAGGCTATGGAAAAATGAATCCAAATGCTATCTCCACTGTTGCTGGGACTGTATGTTATCAACATACACTCTCAAAGTAGAGTGGGAAATTATTTCTTAAGAGTATTCTGCTCTTCCCATATGGATGCTGAACTTCATGGAAACTTATCTGCACTATAGCAATGAATATTAATACTGTGGTCACAAATACTCAGGATTTAGACATACTTGAGAAACTACTGGGACACCTCAGTTTGTTTCCAAGTCTACTACTAATTATCTATTTTAAGGATAAGTCTTTAAAATTAACTTGTAGAACACCAACACATAAATGTAGAAGAAATGAAAAAGAAAGAAAATTACCATTGTACCTCTCCTAGTACTAATTGATTCAGGCAATAATCCTCAATAGATAAAAACGAACTATTGAAGTCTGGTGCTGTGGCTCACACCCATAATCCCAGCACTTTGGGAGGCTGAGGTGGGGGAACTGCTTGAGCTCAGGCATTTGAGATCAGCCTGGGCAGCATAGTGAAACCCTGCTCTACAATACATCAAAAATTAGCTGGGTGTGGTGGCTTGTGTCTATACTTGCAACTACTAGGTAGGCTGAGGTGGGAGGATCGCTTGAGCCTGGGATGTCAAGGCTGCAGTGAACCATGATTGTGCCACTGCACTTCAACCAGGGCAACAGAGCAACTGTCTCAAAAACAAAAAACCCACAACTTTTGAGTGAAAGTTGGATGAGAAACAGGACAGGATATTTATGTAATCACAAATACCTCTCCATAGAGTACTTATTAATCACAAAAGGGAAAACAGTAACTCTTCCAAGGGGAAGCTGACACATACCATCTTAACCCTGTGATGAGATATTGCCAATAACAGTATAGAACAGCTTCATAAGCCTCCTGATTGTAAGGTATGCATGGAGAAGGACAGAACCCCCCCTATCATGTGAAATGAAAATGTTTCACAACTGGAAATTAGGGGCTGGGAAAGGTCTGATTTGTAGCATTAGTCGAAGTCAGCAGTGTAAACACTCCCACCATGGCTGATTTCAAGCTACCAATATAACATCACAGAACACGGAGTTTGAAAGAGATGTGAGAACTGGCTCTCATGAGCTGGTACAGGCTGGCTCCAGCACATCATGGTTTAGCACTCCTGTCAAAAATGCATTAATAGAGCCATTCATGAGGAACCATGAGACAGATCCAAACTGAGGGATAGTCTATAAAACATCTGGCTTGGCTGGGCGTGGTGGCTCACACCTGTAATCCTAGCACTTTGGGAGGCTGAGGTGGGCGGATTACCTGAGATCAGGAGTTTGAGACCAGCCTGGCCAACATGGTGAAACCCCATCTGTACTAAAAATACAAAAATTAGCCAGGTGTGGTTGCATGTGCCTATAATCCCAGCTACTT